AGACACTTGAAGCAAGATATTTCTAAACGTCTCAAGCTTCTAATTAATTTTAGCGGTCATAACGGGAGAAGGAAGCGTTCTAAGGCCAAAGCTATTTTACAAATAAAAGAAGAGCAGCTTCCACACTTTTGAAAGGGGTCGTTCTAACCATTGAGTAACTTTTGGACATATATATCATATTCTTAACTTCTATCATTCAAGCCAAATACACCCCAATGTTGAAAAATACTAGGTTAAAACATGAATGGCATTTGATGGTGGGAAACTAGTTAGATAGCACGATAAAATCTGTTAGCTTAGAAATAAAAACTGAATTTTTATTATTATCTAACACTCGATTTAATTGATCGGGTCATATTTCGACGATCTGATTATTCAAGAATACGCTGTTTGGATATTGACGAAAATTTAGTGAATGTTGTTTCAGTCCTGTGTCCTAAAGGTCAAATACGGCATTGTCACGGTAAACAAAAGTTTGAACGGTTGGGTGGTACCAGCAATGAGGTAAGGTTATCAAAGTGCTCACGTCTGATTGACATGCAATTGAGGGACGAAATGAACTTATCCGTCAAAGACCAGTTTCCAAAGTCGGCCATTAGAACGACTCCTGAAACCCAACGACAACGAAATATTGAAATTAATTTTGGCTGCAGCAGTTCTATTTTTTAGATTATTTTCCCGCATCAAAGTTCGTAGGAACATCATATCAATCGTCATGAATTGTCTTTACGCCACAGAGGCTTCATTTCCGTATGTACCTGCGGGTAGATACAGCCTGGTTGCTGTTTCGTTGTAGAGGTGAATCGTGTTAACGAAGTATCGTTGCCCGCGACGTTCTGCTTTGTGATTTCTTTGGTGGACTGTTTCTTAAGAGTCTCTTTAGGCAGGTCACCAATCAGCTGAAGGTGAAATATTATCACACCCTGAAAGATGAGGGAGACTCACCTGATGATGTTCACAGCCAGGCTCAAGTTTGATGTCAGCTTTCAGTGCGAAAACGGGTGTGCCATTATGGTTGCAGTTCGATGTTTCACACATCAGTGGTCGACAACAATGTATGGGAGTGTCCTGTTTCGAATATTGCCCATTCGACTGAAGGACTATATTGTCTAAAGGAGGTAAACATAAGACGAATTACCTGACGATTCGTATTGGAGCTCGAGTGGAAAAACGGTGAGGCCCTGAAGACAGTGTTTTGTCCGCTGATTTGTTGAGCACCATGCTGCGGAAAAGGTTCCTTAATCATCCCTCCGTTTAGCTGAAGCATAAACACTATGACAATGCAGTAAATACAGCAATACACACTTGGTTTGCCACGAAGTATTTCGTCGCCTGAATATCAGGCTTTGTTTCTAAGAAGGTAGTACTGTTACTGGGATTATTGATTTGATTGCCAACAGTCTTGCATGTAGGGCTACGGTTCTGCTGTTTGAAAAGGTCTTTAGGAAAGTGGAAGCCGTTCTGAGTAACATGCTTCTAAGAATGTAAATGGAGAAACACAATATCTCCAATATTTATATTTCAAGATTCAAATACTTTAACGTTCCAGTCAGCGAAGGGTGAGTCATTCCCAATATTGTTTTTCCAAGTCGTTTGATTAATGCATTGTCCGGCGGAAGGCTGTTTTCGCACTTGGAAATGCACCTATGAAACGAATCGTATAATAGCCGAGAACATGTCAAGAAACCTACAGGAAAGAGGACACTGGAAGGCTCGCGTTTAATATCTGCTTTTGGGATACAGGCAGATGAGCCTTTCGTTGCATGGATTTGCCGAGTGGTTGGTTGGACAAGATTTTGAGGATAAACAAACATAGGCGATTTCGTTGTTTGCTGCTGAGTGAACGCTCCGACATTAGGAGGCTAAAATTTTAAATGAGACATGAAACAACGAACGACGAGTCGCTTCTCAGCTTGTCTTCTACCTTTACAGTCATTTGCTGGCCATACTGTACTGCAGGATGTTGCTTAGGTGTCGGGCCTGTCGCCTGAATATCAAAAATTACTACAATCGAGGGAACATTGGCAGACGTACTTCCCGAAACGGAGCGCGAGGCTCAGCTTGAATACGCACTGTCGAGTCGAAGAACGATGAACCGTCGTCTTTGTATTGGTAATTGACCGGTTTACTGCCATTCTCCCGATATGGATATGTCATTTGCATTCCAGCTCGTGAAATCCCTTGTCCTTGCCGCCATGCGTTCGCTTGATTTTGGCGATTAACCTCTGTCACTCTGCCGGTTGGATTACGACGTTCGGTTCGATCAGTCGTCCGTTTTTCAGCCGTTTTTGGAGGAGCGATGCGAAAGTGTTTCATCTTCTATGTTTCGAACTGAAAACCGCAAAACTTCATTCGCGGTTGCATTAAGGAGAGATGCACTCACCAGCTGAATAGGCTGTGAGCATCAATAGCAGTATATAAAACAGTAATGTTAAAAATTTCTGCCAAATCGACCTAAATACTGTGAGATAGAAATGGCGATCGGTTAAGCACATAGATATGTAAAATCTGAAGTTGTCGTGACGCTTTCAAAAGCAGTGAGACAGCTGCGGAACTCATTCGCCTCTTTTTGTTCAAGTAGGAGGGATGTCTGTGAGTGCACAATTAGGATGAGAATATTCTGTTGCTGAGCTGGAATTCCTCATGCATCGAAAGAACGCCTCCGCATTGCAACATGCATACTGTATCCATGTTCGGCCATGTTTCGATTACTGGCTGGCAACTGCAATACGTTCAGAAACGATGACCAAATGAAACCGCGAAGCTTGCGCTGCAATCAAAATCCTCATATCTTTTTAGGAGATCTTATCACAACCGTTATTAAATATGTATTAGGTGATGTGCAGGTCTGGATTCGAAGTTCATAAAAGATGTTCAGTGTTGATGGCCATCTTGATGAAAATGTCACCCTTCCTGTAGATCTGATTCTCCTGCCAACACACGGTGCGTGGAGTATCCCCATCGCGGTTTCTTCGTCACGTGGCCAAACCATCACTTCTGAATGGTGTTCCAATCTCGTTAAACTTCCCTCACTGCGTCCATTACACTCGATTTAGCACTTGTGTTCACGATGTTTGGTGGAGAGTAAAATGTGTGGACAATGGGCCAAGTTTTATTGTTGGAAGTATGGAAACAAGAAACTACTTGCAGCAGGTTATAGTGGGAAAAAGTGAGGAAGTTAGACTCTCTGTAAAACTGAAACCACTCTGTTCTAAATTTTCAAATGGAACGCCGTCGATGGCCAAGACGAATTTGCTGATCGAGGTCATAAAAGTAGTATGCACAAAGGTGCATAATCGATATTCACCTGCAGCATGTATGACAGAAGTACGGTGCCACAACCCCTAACATAGAGTAAGTAACAGTCCTCTACAATGTTGTGTTAATAAATCATTTTCTTTCCTAATTTGTACCGTAATCCGTGGCATTGCCCACACTTTTGTAGTTTGATCGTCCGTTTCGTCTAAATTTAAATGTAAGACGCGAACGTTTTTCACTATTTATTTTTTTAGTGTACAACAGCGATCAATTCAGAGTGTTTCATTGTGGACAGAGCTCATGCTACCATTTTTCCATTTCTGAGGCTTCGCCGTGCAAGCAGTTTGCACAGAATTCGTTGATTTGGCTAAAAACCCGTGGTTTAATACTTGCTGGATCTTTTTAAATCTTCTTTTGAACTGACGCTGAGACGCATATGAGATTATGATTGTTTTGGTGATGTAACATTAACAACCGAACTGTAGCACAGCATAGCCGAATGTGCCGTAAAATACCATTCCAGTTATAGCTTAATCATCACTCGACTGATTGGTTCCTGGTGAAATTTCCCTGTCTGATTGCGCATTATTATTCACCATCTGTCAGTTAATATGTGCCTATTTATGCATGCGTAAATTCTTATTGTGATCCTCCATCAAGACGGCTGAAGCTACTGTTTTACCTCACGCTAAGAAGTCACAACTATTGGAAGTTGTCGTCAAATACAAAGACCGAAACTGACTGGAGACAGGTTATTTAAAATATAAACAAAAATACAAGTATTACTTTATTTATGCACAGTAATAATAAATCGCGTTGGATGTCTAAAAAAGCGATTTTCGTGCGAGACACAAGCTATATTTTATGTTAGAATCATCTGAACTGAAAGAGCTGATGTAATCAGAAATATTCACGTGATCCACTTTTCAAATCGAGATGCTACTTATTGATCAGGTTCATGTGACATGAAGTTGCCATTACATCTGCTGATTAAAGGACAATACGAAAAATAACGATAATTC